GTCAGAAAATATATTATAGGAAAATACCACAAATGAGAAAATGTTATCAACGCTAAATATCTTTTATTGAGTGTCGTATATAAGTATATACACTCATACACAAATTCACTTGCAAATCAAACACGTATTTTGCACAGTTTCGATCCAAATGTATTCGGATAGCATAATCATGCCAGTAAATGTGTGCTTCACATTGTCAAAAATAAAAGTTTATTTATATTTCCACAATACCTGGTACACTTTCAGTGATTTTGATTAAGGCCAGATCAATAACCAAAAACTTCATTTTATCAACACACTTGCACAGTTCATTGACCAACAAGCGATCGTCATCGATAAACATGGTGTTTTTTCAGATACGCTTGCCTCTAATCTGATGATTCCAAACTAGCAAATATTTCGAAAATATAGCTGCGACAGAAAAGGTGGAGAGTGTATTATATACTTGTGCAAAACATTTACAACCAAACCTACAGACCACTCACAATTGGAAAATATCCCTGCATCTATCTGGCTGTCAGTTGCGGGTGTCTCATTTTACACACTGCTCGCAAGTATCTAGAACTCACCGAATGCGTCTAATGTGAGCATCATCAACATCACTTCTGCATTTGACTTCGCATCAGAGTTGCCACACAGCCTGAAGATTATTGCCCGTGAGTTCAACCTACCGAAAATACGCCTGTCATTCAACCCAACGTCTACCTTACACGCCTCTTTACTTTCCTCCATCACAGCAGAGGCTAAACAGAAATGGATTTTCAGTACAACCAGGTCCGCCAATGTAATGGGATTAATATTCACTTTAGGGATACCCAACCCACAGATCGAGATCATAAACAATCTCCATTGCAGTGACCATAAAATGAGCCGACTCAGTTTCAAATTAAAATGGTCACTAAACTCGCCTCTACACCGCAACTTGCAACCCAGAAGACAAACGGGGAATGCGCTCAGCAGTTCATTCATTTCTCCGACTGAGATGTATTTTTCCTCTCTATCAGTATGTACACCGCTGTGGAACAGTTCTATAAACAAATCCATCGCGCTACAGCCATCCTTCCTCCACAATGTGTTCATACTCTACATGTCTCCAAAGATTCCGTCGAGCACTTAATCAGTAAGAAAACCAAAAGTTAGCTGCAAGATACAGAAAGACCTATGATTTTCCACTTATCTTACAAATGTGCAAATTTATCAGCAGAGTCAAACACGCACAATTAACACGACAAAAAATGAAGAACATACAGCTTTACAGACAAGCTGCAAAACTAGGGAGCTTGTCAAAATACTGCATCGTAGATTCAGTGACCGCTCTCCTCTCATCACCGAAATTGTTGCTGGTGTGGGTCACTTACTCCATGACCCAGCTGAAATCTGTGGAGCATTCAGTGACCTAGTTGCCACTATCATAAGTAGCGAAGCTGACTCGGTGCCTGTGTACACTGAGCTTACAGTAACAAACCTCTTAAGTAGTGGTTATGTTGCTCAACGGTATCCATCAAGTTATCCAATTAATCAGGCCATCCTCCAAGCTGGGATCTGATGGTATTTCATCAACCACCCTTAAATCAGGAGGTCCGGATATACCATTGCTACTGATGAGCATGTGCACTCTACCACTGGAATCTGGCCACTTCCGAGATCAATGGATAACGTCATTTATTATGCCTCGGCATAAAGCAGGTCCCAAACAGACGGTTGATAAATAATGAGCAGTCCACCAGACTACGATAATTGCTGGGGCTATTCGGAAAACTGGTCAGAAAGGAGATGATGAACTTTGTTGATTCTATTGGTCTGAGCAATAATTCGCAGCATGGTTATCATAACAAGCGATTGTGCACCACCTGTCAATTGCATTACCTTAATCATATTTCAGAATCAATCGATTCCGGCTATGCAGTATTAATCCTGTTTCTTGACATACACCAAGCAGTCGACCGAGTACCGCACAAGCGACTGTTACAAAAGTTGGAGAAGTTTGGGATCCGGGACTCGTCACTAGGTTGGCTATCGTCATACCTGAGTGGTCGTCATCAGGTGATTACTTTAGGTGACTATCACTCTTCTCCGTACCCCATCACCGGTGGGGTCTTTCAACGGAGCGTACTCGCTCCTTCACTCTTTCTGCTCTACATCCACGACATCATCACATCAGTAGAACATGGTATGCCATTTGTAGTTGCTGACGATAAAAGGTCGTCTAAAAGCTTCGGCGTGCAGAGCTTCACGGAACGCCACTGCTTATTTAAGTTGGTCTACATTCCCTCGAATCATGGTGCCACACGTGAGTGGTGAACCTCTCGGCTAATAAATCAAGCATCAGGTCTTACTGCTGCTGCATCGCCGAAGGATCTATCCCCCTAAACAAAGAACGTATCCATACACAGCTGTCCACGCGTGATCTCGGAACTAGGTACTTGTCTACCTTCAGTTTCTCCGAACAGGCCCAATACCAAATAGCTCGTGCAGATAATCGGTGTTCAATGCATCTGACAAAATCCACGCAAATCATGCCACAGTTGAGCTTGTTAAGCCGCTCACCTACCTCATCCTGGTATACTTTGGCATAATATGCGGCAATATGAGAAAGGGTGACAGCATTGCAGTGGAGTGCCTGCAGAGATCATTACTAAACGTCTGATTAGTGAACACTGCTATGAGTTATCGAGAATGTTTCAATGAAATTCAACTCGAACCACCTTGATTTCAACGACTGAAGCAAACTTGTTGCTGCATTGCAAGCTGCTACACAAAAGGGCCTATTTAGACCTGCGTACACTCGCACTGCAACCTAGCTCAACTCGAGCTCTTCGCAATAAAGATTGTACACTGGATATATCCAAGGCTAGAACGAACGTCCCCTCTGCTTTCTTCCTGGTCATAGATAGATATCTGCGAAATAAACTACTAATAACACTCAGGTCATGTGACAATGTGGTAACATTTAGAAGCAGACTCTCCAACTACCTTGGTTTAAATAGCATAATCTCTATATTCACATAGAAAATCCCGCGAGGAGCTATCCCAACAAGGGTTCAAATACATCTAAACAGCAATATTTTCAAAAATAGGCTTTTGGCTCAACCATCCACCAGAATGTTACTACGTGAAAAGCATACCCCAATATTTCACCTATGCATATCACTCGTGCAACATCATGGATACTTCCGTACAAAATGATATGTGCCGCAATAGACAGTTTATCATCAAGAGAAAGCTGGAAATCATTATTATTATTATTATCATTATTATTATTATTAAACGCATCGTGGCGTGCAGCGTTCTCGGGCGGGCAGCACCCGTCTATCTACTTCACTTATGGTACCAGTGACCGAAGTGACCAGAGTTTATTCAAAGAGAATTCAGATTATCAGTCGCAATCCAGTCACACAAAGTCTGCTTCAAGATTGAGCTACTCACTAAAACTGTAGAGAATCATACAAAGTTCCTCTGTTTCAGTTAGTGATCATGAAATTCACGAATAAGACGGTAGGTTAAGGAAAATGGCATTCAAGTTGCAAAGTACCGTCTGAAAACGGTAGTGCCACATTTTGCAGGCGGCACTAAAGGTTTATTATTGAATGTTCAATCCATGTTGACATTCATAGCATGAACTACGTGCACCCGTTGAGAAAATTTCTAACCTCTTACAGGGTAATCAGAGTGCGACAAAGCAAACACAGTATACCTGATTAGTGCCCAACATATACAACCAGAAGCAGACTCCTTCAGGGTGGGAAGAGGGGTCTAAATGGCATCTCGGGACCGTCATGCCGAGAATGGTAAGGGTAACAACATAAACCTGGTATTAAGGTAGCATCTCTATCGTGATATTCCCATGAATACAGCTGTAACTTATCTAACTTCGATTTTAAATTATGTCACTTTCTGTTGGGCCATATAAACAGCACGTATCGCCATCGGAAAGCAATCTGTCAAGTCACTCTTTACTATCGGTAACGTGGTCACAACAATGAATTAAACGAGAAGAATGTCACGTGACGGACACAGTTGAAGAGTGAAAAATCGCTGCGACATTCCAAATGGCGCGTTACCTAGGAACTAACAAAAAGCCCCACATACAACCGCGTCATACAAACTTCGGAATGGGGAATTTACTAGAAAAAGACTCCAAACAAGTAATTGGCGTCGATAGCGCCGTGCAATGGAATGTGGATAAGGTGCTTCACTTTGGAAGGTGACAGGACTTATCAGCAATTCGTAGTGTTCAGTGCGTCCAGTTCTGCTGTTAGTTCAACGGCTACCCACCGCGAGTGTTAAATCACCCTGCATCCGATGCGCAATATGCCATCCGATGTAACTTGGTGTCACAACCTCGAAAGACGGCGCATGTCATATGCGATTTTACACTCGTCGGACCACACGCGAGGTCAACAGGATAGATAAATGGGCTGCTGGGCGTTGGAGATTGGCATGTGCTCTTTACGACCAGAAGTGTCAAACATTCTCCAGCTACGAAATTGTCTAGCCACGACCAACCTAACATCGCCACCGCACACCTGATTGACGCCACAAACGTCAGACTGTTACTTGGTAAATGAACATTATCCTGGTCAAGCTTCCAACCTCATGGTTTTAGCCACCCCCGTCCGCCGTTCTTCGGATTGTCGAACTGGTTAGTTGGTGGTTAATTTAGTTGAAACCCGTCAGCTTCAGTTTTTCATTTAACCAGACCAGAGAAGGCGGCAGTTCGATTCGCCGTAGGAGTAATATTTAGATTATTTGGCCAGTAGTTTGGTTACCAGTGGAGGACTTCAGTAGAATAACGACCAACCAAATACCGGTTGGTTAATACTGGACCCATCCTGCAGACACGTTCGTGTGGCAACTGTCCAGTGGCAAAGCGACACCGTTCACAGGACAATGACGACGATGGCAACTACTTTGATTGGACGTCCTTCATTGGCCTGATTTACTGGACCAATCAAAAGGTGGCGAAATCCGTTGCACTTTAACAATCGGTCTGAAGGGCAGGCATACCATTCACCCGGAGGTCGAATGACCATAAAAGTCCATGCAAATTGGTGACGTTGGCAAAGCTGTAGTGAATTAACCATATCGTCTTTCACGGATTATGTGAATCTCAAGAAATGCTTTTCGAGAATATTGGCGCTATCGTTTTCATTGGCAAAGGCTGGGCCATGTTTTGGAATCCTCCATTATGTCATTCGCCTTAGCAGATGTGATCAACGTCGCTCCCGACAGTGCCAAATTAGGGGTAGCGGGAACACAGTCGACGGATATTTTAGGGAACGCATGGGTGCAACAGACTTCAACGTCTTCCTCTGGCCCTGTGCACTATTCTGTTGCAGCACCGTTTGAACGAAACTGCCCTCCTCATCATGACATATATCAACGCCTTGGAGCTCAAACCCCAAATCACCTGAACTCTCTCCACCTTTCCCATTTATTCCCATTAACTGGTATCGAAGAAGATTCATGCGTAGAGTTCAATTGCTTGAAACATTCTGTGGTAGATACTGTGGAGGGTGCGGATCCGATTCATTCATCCGGACTTAATTCCACAGATGCATGCGCGGCTCCAGCTGGGATGTGCTTCGTTTTGCAAGGAATGTCACCAACAGAAGAATCAGGCACCTTTCAATCCAACGCATGGGTTACATGCACTAACTCGGGGTGCAATTACGGTGAGTTTTACTGGTTTCAGCTTACCCTACACTTACCACTCGTTATATGACGTTTCTCGGCTATGAGCTTTTACTAGTGGCGTGACTCGATACTCGTCGGTATAGTGTTTCACCAAATATTTCAACTGCTTGTCATAGGCAACAGGTAGGCAACAACCGTACCATCAAATAGTTCCTATGCGAATTCTCAAATCACATAAAACTGCCAGATGACCTTTTCGGACTTGTCGAACCAACTATCATAGTTCTATGTTGCATACTTCCAGTTAGTGCGCCCTACCTCAGAAGTACGTTTCACGCATTTGCTGGGTTGTATACTGTCACACCACTTGCTCAGTGGAAGCAAGCAAACTTGTCTTGAAGTGCATTGTTCTCCCCTCTAAGTATTTACACTTAACACCCAGCTCCTCATTATACCCGGATCATATAACCTGCCACTTTCTGCACGCGGATGCTGTAGCTCTCTTTGGTCCAAACCCAGCTACCATGCACGTGCTCCACAATGAGCGGATGCCGCACTCCCCATATAAGTACAGAGCATTATCATATTGCAAACCACAGTTGAGGGATGGGATCCACAAAGTTCTCAGTGATCGATCAGTTTGCTTGTTTATTGATAGGTAGAAGATCCTGCGACCAACGTTTGACAGTTGCACCCCTAGGGTGGCCATTGTGTGCACTCTTAGCCAGGAGTTAAATGGTTTTGCACTTCTATCACTTATAATAACATTGTAGTGGTACCTTATGGAATAAAGGTGAGTTCACAACCTCGTGGTTGACCTGTACGCTAATGCGTGGGTCAGCAAACTGTCCCTGCGGACTGACCACGTCAAGACACTGATGTGTTCGACCACCGATTAATTCAAAGTTTCGATCACATCCGGTGGATTTATTGAGGTAGTAGTATCGGAATCCCTTATCACTTTCTGCACAACCTTATGCAGTCCAACCTGCTAAGGCGACCAGCCAAAAACATCCCCAAAGTTTCTCCTCTAAGTAATCTCCCTATGTATGAACGTGTCCATGACGACCACCTGTGCAAGGCGACCACCTTTTGTCCGTCCCTTCGATATGGTTGGCGGCATCCCGTTTCGGATTTGCATGTCACTGTGACTAGCCACAGGACGCCTGCGCCTACAAAGGGACCATGGGTGGCTTGCGCTGCACCACCCACAGCTCCAACCACACACCCCATACCCAGTTTAAACCCGAAGGAATAAGACCGGGAGGCATGTAGATGGGAGCCACGTTTCATCAATGGAGCCGGCCCACACTCCTTCACAGGCAAACGCAAGTACGTTGTATTTGGGAATCAGTCGCCTAGAAGGCTGTGGCTGGACCGTAGTCCGCTTCACACTGAGTGCATGGAACCACTCATCGAGTCTAGCACGACCACAACGACTGTGCACCCCGTCCCCTCCAGCAACGACCAACTGTCTCCTAGAGCCAGTATGGACGAGGTAGTGGGTACTAGACAGGTAGGCACCTTATCAACATACACATCAAGCGCAGCCACACCGGGGATGACAAGCAACAGCCAATCACTTGAGAGAAAGATAACAAAGAAAATAAATCGAGTATTGCATAACGAAATGTGACAAACATCTTAAATTAATGAGCATACGAAATAAGTTGTTTACAAACGAATCCGAGATAAGTTCACGAGGTCAGAAAGTATATTTTGCGGAAATGCCACAAGCACGAAAATGTTATCGAAATTAACTACATTTAGCTTAAGCGACGTGTGCAAGTTTATAGAAGAGCGTACAGGTGGACATTTATTTGAGAAAAGCAGCATTAAGAGCAAATTGCAAACCCACCACCTGAAATAAAGGGTTAGCATGCAAGCACGCGGATAGTAAATCCAATGCAGCGTAGCTACAAACGCTGCACCGGTTCTGCCTACGTTCTCTGCAGAGCCTGTCGTCGCTTCAGTAGTGGTCCCGAGTGGCCTAGCTCATGGCTCATTAGGCCTGCCTGACTCAGGCACTCGCGACCGCATGTGCTACAGCGCCATGCGCTCGATGTCGATGGAGTACAACCCATCGGTGTTTGTCGATTCTGCTCTACATACATGAACTCTTTCTCCCGCACTTCGGCAACTGCCTTCGTGATAAGATCGCGCCATGCACGCCGATCCAACGCCTTCGATTCCCATGACCTGCAATCAAGATTAGAACGTGAGAGACTCATTTTGATCATGTACTGGTAACGTAATTTTGTTTTCCCTACATGCCGCTTCCCAATATTCAGCTGATCAGATAACGCTTGTTTCGCTATCCGCGTCGAACCCATACTCCCACATGACCGAGCCACCTCGAGTGTCTCAGCGAAAGTATGCAGTCCGCTGCATACATCCCACTTTGACGCAACATTCCGTCGCAAACACTGCTGATGGAACCGCTCAGGATATCGCACATCCTGACGGTACATCGTCCACGTTTCACTGCCGTATAGAAGAACGGACAGCACCATGGATTTGCACACCATCAGCTTGGTGTCAACTGTAAGCTGTTGGTTGTTCCACACTCGGTACTCTAGCTTTGCGAATGCTGCCGCTGCGTTCGACATGTGGATACGCAGCTCATTGTGTAGCCGCTGATCAGTCGACATCACACTCCCAAGGTAGCAGAAGCGGGAGGTGGTTTCTAATACTTCAGCACCAATGCTGATTCGCGGCAATATTGCAGATTGCATCTCCGGTGAAGGCTGAAAGAGACAGACAGTTTTGTTTGTATTGATGCTGAGCCCGAATTTGGCCGCTGTCGAAGCCAGAGCACTAGTCATGTGCTGCAACTCATCCGCGCTGTGTGTAACCAACGCACAGTCGTCAGCAAACAGCAACATACGGATAGTTGTCTCACAGACTAGGGTTCTCGCACCGAAACGACGGATGTTCAGCAACCCACCATCAATACGGTGCTCCACACGAACACCGTAAACACAAACGACATCAATGCACAAAACATCATTGAATGAAGATATATATTACACAGGGCAGGAGCTAGGACACAGCCTTGCTTCACACCAGAGATAACTGCAAAGTCATCTGAGGTCTCTCCACTCAGCTGCACACTCGCTCGCATACAGATGTGAAGACATTCACTTAAACTTACAAGCTTCCGCGGACAATCAAACTTACCCAACCCAAGCCACAATGCTTCGCGGTTCACTGTATCAAATGCTTTGGTGAAATCAACAAAAAGCGAGTGCAACGGCTGGTGTTGTTCTCTACACTTCTCCTGCAACTGACGAGCCGCAAACACCATATCTATAGTGCTGCGACCCGGACGGAATCCACATTGCTCTTCCGCCACGTTCGGTTCCACAACCTAACTGACGAGGCGGTTCAGCAGGATTCGGGCAATCACCTTGCCCACACAACTCAGCAAGTTGATACCACGATAATTCGTGCAACATTGCTTGCTCGCTTTATCCTTGTAAAGTGGTAGCACATGGGCATCCTTCAGCTCAGGAGGCACCTCCTCCTCAATCCATACGCGTTGCACCAAGTGGTGCAGCGCAGTCAACAACGCGGGTTCGCCGTATTTCAATACTTCAGGCGGGATCCCGTCGGCCCCGACACGCTTGCGGTTTCGCAGCTGAGCAAGTGCTCTCTGCGTCTCATCCATTGGCGGCGTGTCCGCCAGACTGGCCTTCATATCGTACTACTTAAGGCCGTTCAATGTAGGCCAGGCGACCTCTGGACGGGTGTTCAAGAGACAGTCGAAGTGTTTTCGCCGGATCTGCATTACGTCTGCAGTCTGTGTGCAGATAGCGCCTGAACTACCATCGATCATTGTCCTCAGCGGCTCCAATATCGTTCTAATAACCGCCTTCAAGGAGTCAAAGAATTCCTTGTGTTGGCGGCGTTCGGATTAGCATTCCATCTGCTTCGCCTTCACCGTCCACCATGCATTTTTAATGCGACGCAGCTCTCAGGTCAGTCGCCATCGAAGTATGCGGAACTGTCTACTCTTCCCCAAGTCACTGGGGTCTGCCACATATGCAGCAAATGCTGCATTCTTCTCACACCCCAATGCGCCAATCGTCGGATTGTTCCCATCAAATCAATCAGGCCGCTTACAGTTTGCGCGCCCGATGGTCTCCTCGGCAGCAGCTGTCACCTGGTCGCAAATGTGGTGCCACAGGTCGCCCACTGTGGCTATACAGTCCACATCACCACCCAGGCGTGCAACCATCGCCTTCTCCAGCTCAGTACGTTTCGCCACAGTACCGAGGGAGAGAATGTTAAATTTACGCCGATTCACGGCGAGAGTGCAATACATAGATTAACGAAAATATATGTACAGTTTGGTCTGCACCAATTTGTGATCAATGCCACACTCCGCTCCACGCAGTACACGTGTCATGTGCACTTCACGCATATCACGCTGACGTACGATGAATAGTCGAGCAGGTGAGCGTGACCACTCCGTGGGTGTGTCCAAGTTGCTATATCACTCACACTCAGTGCAAACCGAGTGTTCCTGATCTTGAGGCCGTGAATGGCGCAGAGAGCAGCCTGTCACCGTTCGCATTCGTTGAACCTATACTATGAGGACCGATAACATCTGTAAACACCGATGCATCACGCCCAACGCGCGCGTTGAAATCACCCAGCAGAAATAGTCGGTCGCTCCTCGGCACGGACCGTATCGCAGAGGATAGCTCAGTGTAGAATTGATCACGCGTGTCATCAGGATAACACATGGTCGGACCGTACGTGCTTATAAAAGTAGCAAAATTACCTCTTCCGAGTCGTAGGCGAACAGTCATCAGTCGCGCGCTGATGCCCGTTGGTTCACCCACCAGCTGGCCACGGAGGCGATCGGATATTGCAAATCCGACCCCATGTTCACGTGGTGCTGTGGCGTTGCCCACCCAGTAGAATGTGTAGGCAGCACCTGCTTCATGCAACTTACCTTGCTCAGCGAGCCGGGTTTCACTGAGCGCGGTAATATCGATGTTGTAGCGCGCCAGGTCCATCGCGACCAGTG